TTTTTGTCTTAGCAACTTGTAGTATATAGTAACTTTCTTTACGTTTTTTTTTTTTTTTTTTTTTTTTGAGGGGTCACAGAAAATGATACTTTCATTTAGGGTAGTGAAGGACCAGAATGCACTCTGACACTAACACGCAACACAAAGGTAGGTAGATGCACTGAGAGGAAAAGCAGACTGTGGTGTAGCTCTGTTATACATTTTATGAAACCAACAACATCCTATTCTTTTTAATTCTAGCAGCTTCTTGTTCACATAATACTAACAAAGTCTGCTTCTCTGCTGTTATATTGTATAGTGTTAAGTATTCAGATGATTTTTGTGAACTCTCAGGAGTTTTGAAATACTGTATTAATTTAGCACCTCATTTCCTTATGTCGTTATGTTGTTCCACCTTTTTTTCTTAATAAGAACACAAAATATAAACAATACTTTTTCTACATGAATTAATCCAGGTTTCAAAGCTGGCCATCTAAACTGGATGGGAATATCTCCCATTTACACATGTAAACACAGAATGTGTGTGTGAAATGCAGATGGGTCTCAATACTAAATACGTTACCTTCATCCCTTGAAGTGGATTGAGGCCATTTTAAAATCATGCTTTTCTTCAGAATAAATGATAGCAACATAAAGGACCCAGAACTCCGATTTCAATCATTTAAGGGTGCTCATTTAGAAAAGTGACACATTTGTATACAAACAGGAGAATAGTCTTACCAGCATGCAAGTAAGCTAGATCAGGGTTTTCAATGTCAGGATGCAGCTCCTTCAGGTGGTTGCGAAATTCCACTGGGACATTGGTTCCATAGTCACATTTGGGGCAGTTATACATTTTTACTCCTTCATGCTTTCCTGTGTGTAAGATATGCTTACGGATATTTTCAGCGCAGTTAGACCTAAAAGGTGAAAAAAAGAAAGAGTTAAATTATATTATATACGCACACATATGTAAGAAGGAAGGCCATCCAACAGTATTCAGGCACTGAAAATTAAATCCTGCTGTTATGATGGAGAGACAGTAGGGTCTCTACAGTTAAGGTAGTAACTAGTAACATTTTATGCCAGATCCTGACATACTCTTAACTTGCACAGAAAACATGTCTTCCAGCTGAAATCTCTGAAAGTGTGGAAGTTCCCGATTAATTATGAATCTGGAAGATTAAGAATTTTACAAAATGAATAGTTTTTTTTCACCTTTGCAAAAGTCTTCTAATATTTTTGGGGTGTGTGAGTGGGGAACATAATAGCTACAAAACTCCTTAACCTAGCAAAACTGATATTATTTGTTTGGCTTTTTTGAGCACCATGCCTTTAACTAGGGTCTAGGTGCAGGTAAGCATTGATGCTTATATTTAAAAAGTTCACATGGAGTTCACATGAACCTTTACTACTAAGTTCATAGACCCCATTAGAGTCTTTGCAACTGATTTTGTAAGGATAGTCCATTAACTCCTGCAGAGCTTATAAACTCTACATAGTGATCTTGGGAGAGGGGAGAGTTTGTGTGTGTCAACTTTTCAAAGGCGTGCATGCCTAACTTTTGCATGTGTGTGCACACACACACACACACACACACACACACACACACACACACACGCCCTGATTTAAATCAGGGTTTGTCTGCCCACACAGGAGTTGGAATGTACAGAAGCCAGAGATGCGCCATTCATTTCACACACTTGAAAAATTTGGGCTCAAGGGTTTTTAACCTCATTTCCAAAAAAGAGTGATAAAAGGTTGCAGTAATAATGAATTTATATCCAAAAAAGTTTACCAAAATTCCCACCCCAAGTTTATACTTCAATGAGAATTTCCTGACTATTCAGTATGTATGAATTTAAAACAAAAAAACTACAACATCCTAGAAAGGTTTGTTAGTAGAAGTAAATGATATACGTTACCTGTATCAAAGCAAGGAATATAAGTGCTTCCATTTATTTCTGTTTGGGAATACTTTATTAATACTATAGACTCTATTTTCCCCTACATATTCTAGGTGTCAGCAATTAAAGGACACTAACTTTACTCAAAAGTTAAATGGAAATCGTACAAAATAAGTTTCAAATGTGAATGGAAAAGAAAATATACAAATAAACAACATTTAAAATAAAAGTTCTAATAAAATGAGAATATAGTTCATGACACTAAAGGTGACATTCAGACCAAACTTGCCTATGGGGGAGCTTTGAGAATCTGGGCACCTATATGGAAACTAACTGTTCCCTTAGATGAACTCTAAGGCATTATGTAAAAATTGTTCTTTCGATACCTTGAAATTATTTCTGTGAAATATGAAAACTCTACAGAAACCTTAGAGTTGTGAAGGAAATACAGTCTGCTCAAGTTGTGTGCATGGGCAGTGCTATATTATTTGATCTCTGAACTTGTTCAAACCACTGTAAACTGTGCCACCTTAAAGTCTCATTTGTTTAACCATGATTAAAAATTCTGTGACTGAACATAGCAATGTGCTGATCAACTTATCAATTGAAATGTTTGTCTATGTGTTGAGCACAGAAAGGCCTAATCATAAATTAGGAATAAGAGATCATAAGACATTACAAATGGTTTCCCTTATTAGTTTGCAATGCAGGGATTGTGCTAATAAAATAACCCATGAAGGTGACAACTCGCAAATCCAGGCACTTTTGAAGCCAAGTAATACCCTTAAATATGACATGACAATAATGTACTGCATATAAAATGTTTTTTTAATTATTCACTGTGCCTTGACTGCCTGTTCCATTATCAGTCTTGTCCCTAGTGCTTGGAAAATACATTATTCCATATCTGACATACAAAACACCAAACATTGTATTTCATATTATACTTACGGAATTTAAATCAAATGACTGTACTTAGAAGTCTGTGACTTTAAGAAGTACTGTATCTGCACTAAAATGGTGGCATTATAAACATTTAGCTAAATATTATAGTGTTGCAATAGTGATGATAGTTAAACAGCTGACAGGCTTTGTGTTATAAACTCCACTTTCAGGAGTTTATAAACTCTGAGATAAAGATTCCCTTTATATTGAAATTTGGCAATGAAGAACTTAGCCCAGAAGGAATTCTTCTGCTTCAAAAACTTGAACAAAGTCAGACTTTGGGTTTTTAGTTCAGCTCTTGAGTTATATCAGCCAAATAAATAAACATGGCTTTTAAGAGACTGGTCTGCATTCCAGTAACACTAACATAGAAGTTATTTATGTTAAATTATTATCATTATTCCTTAATATGAACAAGTGTGTTTTTGTCTATATAAGTTATTTCCTATTTTGAATGAATTATGTATATGTAGCAATTTTTGACTGGGCATTCACAGAATGGATATTCCTGGTAGAGAGTGAAGTAGTTTGCAGTTATTATCTATAGATATGTGAAAATGCTGCCATACAGGAGTGGAGTGGAAACTTTTCCTCTCTCCTTTCTTCCACGCAATGAGTGCTGCTACAGGGCATGGACAGGGGCAGATGAAATGTTTCCCCAACCCCATTACAATGCTAGGGTATTGTGGGTATTGTTTGGAGTCTTCATCTGCCCAAGATTGCTGCAGGTGATGATGAGCAGGGAGATGGAGCCTTTTCCTCAAGTTAGGCTGCAGATGGAGGGAGAATGGTCCCACTTGTATAAGTCATGTACAGTGGTACAGACACTATAAGTTAGTAGCTGCCAACAGTTCCATAGTGGTATCTCAACCACCACAATTATCTTTTTGTTCATAGGAAAGGAAAATACTGTGGTAAATGTTTTGGAGTAAAGGATGACATTTAAATAGTGGTCAGATTGTCTGAAGTTTTCTTGATCGTTTACTTTTTATCCTTCCCTATGTCACTGAAATCCATCCTTTCCTCTCTACCTTTACTTCTAAAAGCCTAGTCCATATCTCAGTCTTTTCTTTTTTGTGGCCAACTGTTTGAACGTGAAAAGTGGGAAGTATTATTCTCACCCCTTTGTTTGTCATCCCATCCTATCCTCCATCCCAGCCAAAATACTGCTACTAGAGTCTCCTACCTTTCCTAGCAGGTCATTCCTCTTCCTTGAATCTCTTCACTGGCTTCCCATCTTTTACTACCACACCAAGAAAAAGCTAGTACTCTCTAATTTCCCCTTTTTAGTATCTCTGCTCTCAAGTATTTCTCTCACACTTGCACCATACACGCCACGCTGTCCTCCACCCCTAAGTGCTACCATTGACTTCTACTCTTCACTTCACATCTTCTATTCTGTCCTTATGCCTTATGTCGTCCACTTCTTGTTCACTACGAGCCACATTCTTAAACTGAGGTGCCTAAACCCACATTATATAATCTCTATATACCTATATGCAGATTTTTAGGTACCTAACTAGGGGTCAGAGATTCAGTTATCCAAAGGTGCCTAAATGTCAATTTAGGCACCTAACTCCAGATACAAAATTGTGAAATCGGGCTTTATGTGCCCTTCCTCATCTCTAAGTCCTTTTTAAAAGCCACTTCTTTGAAGAGGCCTTCCAGTGTTGATCACCATACTGCCATTGTACCCTCAACATGTTGTGTTTGATTTTTTTGTCCCATACAGTGTATTTGTCTGCCAGAATTTTAGACTGTTATTTCTTGGGGCAGTGCTTTTTGTGTGTGTTTGTAAAATATCATGTATATTTATGGTTCTATATAAATAATAAACATTAACACAAAGAAGAGACTTGTAGAGTTGGCAGAAGAGAACTGTAGACTGTTCCAGCAGGGTGGGCTCAAAGACACTAAGCCAACAGACAAGCTATTTCTTTGATCTTATCACACTGTATTATAGCAGGGGTTCTCAAACTGGGATCACTCAGGGGGTCACGAGGCTATTACATGAGGGATCCCGAGCTGTCAGTCTCCATCCCAAACCCCGCTTTGCCTCTAGCATTTATAATGGTGTTAAATATATTAAAAAGTGCTTTTAATTTATAAGGGGGAGAAGGGTTGCACTCAGAGGCTTGCTATGTGAAAGGGGTCAGCAGTACAAAAGTTTGAGAACCACTGTATTATAGGATATCCCTCAAAACTTTCCTGTGGTTTTAGCCTTGGATTACATTGTAGGCTCACATCATCACTATTTTAACTAACTAATTACTCTCTCACCCCATTTAAAGGGCAAACTTAATATGTAGTTTAAAAATATTCAATTCTACATTTTATTATTAAAGCTAAATTGCTTTGGCCTATATTTTAAAAAGGTATTTAGGTGTTGCTCTGCTTGGCGTTGCAAAGGCTAACTGACTTAGGAGCCTCCGTCTAATTTGAGATGCTTGGTAGGTCTACACTTAAAACACTGCAGCAGGTGCAGCTGTGCCACTGTAGTGCTTCAATGAGGAAACCACTACTCCTACAGGAGAGCTTCTCCCATCGGCTTATTTAATCCACCTCTGCAAGAGGCAGTAACTATGTGGATAGAAGAAGTTCTCGCAGTGACATACAGCTATCTACACCAGGGGTTAGGTCAGCATAACTGCATGATGCAGGGTGTGGATTTTTCACACCCTTGAGTGAAGTAGTTATACCAATGTAAGTGTATAGTGTAGACCTGGCCTTAGGCTCCTAAATCAGTTAGGCCTAGCAATGCTGGGTGGAGAAAGACCCAAACACCGTTAAAAATATGGGCCAAAGGGATTAGTTTCTTCCTTTTGACTTCTACAGCCAGTCAGAGATTACTGAGGTGTCCTTCTTTTTGTTACTTTGTAATCAATCCGGAAAATGTTGATTTTACAGCTAGAAATGAATTACGCCAGACTCCAAAAGGTAGTGGATGGGGATTAGTATTAATAATCAGAAGACTGTTCCTCTTGCTAATAGAAATCTTAAGAGGCATCCTGATACGATTTAAAAGTGACAAAAATTCGACTTTATTAACTCTGGAGTTTAGTTTTCTA